AAGAATAGCTTTGGCCTGGGAAGGTGGCTCAGTGGTAGAGGGCTTGCCTTGCATGCATGAGGCCCTGGGTTTGATTCCTCAGCACCACATAAGCAGAAAAGGCCAGAAGTGGTGCTGTGGCTCAAGTGGTAGAGTGCTAGCTTTGAGCTGAAGAGCTTAGGGACAATGCCCAGGCCCAGAGTTCAGACCCCATGACTGGCAAAAAAATAAATAAATAAAAAGAATAGCTTCAAGTTGGTTCATAAATAATTCATAGTTGATTTCCTTTTAATTGTAAATTCCCTTATCCTGATTTTTACTTTCAAATTTAAAGAATTTTTTAAAAATATTCACAGCAGTACTTATATTTGTAACAATTTATGAATCTAAACATAATGAAAATAATTCTAGAAACACTTGCAACTGTCCGAATGGTCAGATCTTGTTTAGAAAGCAATCGTCCTGATATGTTGTACATCATATAATTACCTGTGAAGTTTCATATTGTGTAAGGAATTAAGAAAGCTTTAACATGATTCAATATTTGCTTTTCTACAGGTCTTGAAACACTTACTTCCAACCCAGGAGTGCCTGTGAAATGTTTAACTTCTAATCTGCTCCAGTCTAGGAAAAGGCTGGGGACATCTAGTGCCAGTAGCCAGTCCCACACCTTTGTGTCCAGTGTGGAATCAGAATGTCACAGCAGTCCCAAGTGGGAAAATGACAGCCAGGTCAGAAGGCAATTATTTTAACCCCAAACCAATATGCTTTTCAAGTTAATGATAGAAATATCATGCCTTTTCATGCAAATTCTGTAATAGTTACATGAATGACAGTTGAGATTTATCAAAAATCATTTATTTTCCTGGATAGCTTGTTGAAGTATTTCATTTTTCATTATTATGATTAAGTAATTATAGCAAATTGATAGTAAATGTTTTTGGCCTCTAGGCGTCTAGGTTTCCTTTTAATTCCCTACCATGATATAGACCTTACCTTGTTGAAATATTTTGTGTGTTTTTTATATATTATTTTAAAACTACTACCTTCTTCTATATTGTTTCCCACTAATTCTTTACTTAATGAAATGACAAATCTTCACAATTAACTTTTAGACCAAAGAATAATAAGGTTGGGTATTTCAAAATAATCTGCTTGCCAAATGAATGGATTTATTTATAAGTAATTTAATTTATACATTATTTTTATTTTTGCCTTTTATTATTGAAGTTATCAAAGCTAATAGTTATAAAAGATGATACAAACTAAAATGTAAAATTATATTGTCTCCTTCATTGGATGTTGATAAAACTTTTTTTTTTTTGGGTTGGTCGTGGGGCTTGAGCGCTGTCCCTGCACTCTTCAGCTCAAAATGAGCCATAGGCCCACTTCCGGTTTTCTAGTGGTTTATTGGAGATAAGAGTCTCACAGACTTTCCTGCCCAGGCTGGCTTTGAACTTTGATCCTCAGATCTCAGCCTCTTGAGTGGCTAGGATTACAGGCATGAGCCACAGGCACCCAGCTAAACATTTTTTTTTTTGGGGGGGGGGGCCTGAACTCTGGGCCTGGGCGCTGTCCCTCAGCTCTTCTAGCTGAACATTCTTGTTAGAATAAACCTTCCATTTGATTAACTTGGATTATAGTTTCTTCTTATTCTCTGCACTCTGGTTTCTTCATTACTGTTGAATATTTGTTTCTGTAAGAGCTAGTGCCTCATGCCTGTAATCCTAGCTATTAAGGAGGCTGAAATCTGAGGATCACAGTTCAAAGCTAGCCCCTGTAGGTCTAGCCTGGGTAGGAAAGACCATGAGACTCTTATCTCCAGAAAAGCGGAAGTGGCACTGTGGCTCAAGTGGTAGAGCGCTAGCCTTGAGCTGAAGAGCTGAGGGACAGCGCCCAGGCCTAGAGTTCAAGCCCCACAACCGACCAAACAACAAAACAAAACAAAAAAAAACCCTAGATAAAGTAGTGCTTCTAAATCCTTTTTCTCCCTTTTTAAGCTATGATATGAATAACATATGCTGTAAGATGGGCTGGGAAGATGGCTCAGTGATAAAGCTCTTGCCTTGCATGCATGAGGCCCTGGGTTCGATTCCTCAGCACCACATAAGAAAAAAGCTGGAAGTGGTGCTGTGGCTCAAGTGGTAGAGCATTAGCCTTGAGCTAAAGAGCTGAGGGATAGCACCCAGGCCCAGAGTTCAGGCCCCATGACCGGACCCCCCCCCCAAAAAAAAATATGCTGTAAGATAGATTATAGACTTCTGTTCATAGTATTTCATCCCTTATATTCTAAAAAGCATAGCATATCATATATTGTTTTCAAACTACATACAGCTTTACCTTCTTCCATTCCACATTTGGAGGAAAAGATTGATGAAATTATTGTAGCATTTCATAACTTATATCACAGGAGTCTAGTGAACCACAGGAACCAGGTGATATCCTGGTACTAGTCCTCAAATTCATCATTTTATGCTTGGAAAATGGTTAATTAATTCAGGAATTTTTTTTCCAGGCTTGTGACTAAGCTCTCTTTTTCTTACTAAATAAGTTAGTGACAGTTATTATTTCATATTTATACATTGAAAATAGGGACTATTAGAGAGTGCTGAAGATTCATACTACTAACTGAACGTTCTCATAAAAATCATGGCCACCATGCACCAAATTGCAAAATTATTTACAAAGTTCTGATGAGTAACCAGGAAGAGTTGGAATTCAGACCATTTTTAGGGAAAGTATTTTGTTACTAGTGCATCATCAGTTTACTTATTGGCAATGGTTTTTAATTCCTACTGTTTTTGGTATTATTGCTAATGTAAAGTAATACAAGTTTTTTTTGGTTTCTGATTTTTCAGTGATAAGATCTTAAGCCCAATGGAGTTGCAGTACAAAAAAAGGGCTCCCAAACAGATAATGTAGCCTTATCTCCAAATTTACCTGTTTTGTTCCACTTAACAGCATGTAGTACAGTATCAAAATAAATGTTAGAGGGTAATAGACTTAAATTTTGACCAATGTTTCATTCAAAGTAATAGTATTAAGTTTATGCAGTAATTTATTCTAATTCTCTATTATCATTGTTCTTTCACTCCATATGAAACATAGTAGGTTATGGAGTTATTTGTCCCACATAGGTGCTATATTATAGACTAGAAGGTTAAAGACGATCAGCTTTATGCAACTAAAAAATGCATTTTCTCCCTCTCAGGAAAGTGACAAGGCATTGGGCTCTGCAATGAGTTGGAATACAGTTGAAAAGTTCTGTATGAAATCCACGGATGCCATCGAGACCAAAAGTTTCCATAAAAAGGAACTTGAATTAGTCCTTTCTCCCATTCATAACAGCAATGTTAATCCTGCCACTGGAAACTCTTATGTAAAACTTGGTAAAAAATGCTTCTCTGGGGAAGCTTCTTGGGCAGCAAGAGAACTGGACATTAATAATGTAAACATGACTTCTGACAAAGAAGAGTCTGGCTTCTACCACTCAAATCAGTGGGCTGTGGATTCTAGTGGTATGTCTGAAGAGCCTCTTGGGAAAAGAAATTTAAAAAGAAGTTTTCAGTTGATTGACTCTAGTCCTTGTCAGGAAATCATACAGAATAAAAAAAATTGTGTAGAATATAAGCATAATAGTGAAATGACACATTGCTATACAGATCAAAGTACAAGCTTAACAACTGAAGTCCAGAATCTTAAGCTCTCACTGTATAGAAGTCAGCAAAATGATTATGCCAATAAGGAGAACATTGTCGATTTTTTTACTGATAGGCAACAAACACCAGAAAAATTATGTATTCCAATGATAGCAAAAAATCTCATGTGTGAACTAGATGAAGATTGTGAAAAGATGAATCAGAAGGACGACCTAATTTCTACTTCTCTATGTTCTGATGATGATAGAGCTCCTAAAAGTATATGTATGGACTCAGATTCATCTTTTCCTGGGATTTCTATGATGGAAAGTTCATTAGAAAGGCAGTCCTTAGATCCAGATAAAAGCATCAAAGAGTCCTCTTTTGAAGAATCAAATATTGAAGATCTTATTGTATCACCAAACTGTCAAGAAAAGAACTTTCCAAAAGATGTTGAGAACCCTGCTGTCCAAGACAGTAACCAAAAAATGTTAGCTCCTTCTTCAGAGGTGTTGAAAACATTAACTCTCTCTAAGAGAAATGCTGTCGCTTTTCGAAGTTTTAACAGTCATATTAATGCATCGAATAACTCAGAACCATCCAAGATGAGCATTACTTCTTTTGATGCAATGGAAGTTTCAGGTGTTTATAGTGGTTCATATCCCATGGCCGTAACGCCTATTCAAAAGCGAAGATCCTGGATGCCATATCAGGTATATTATCATGTCATTCTTTTTTTTTTGGTCGGTCATGGGGCTTGACTCTGGGCCTGAGCGCTGTTCCTCAGCTCTTCAGCTCAAGGCGAGCGCTCTACCACTTGAGCTACAGTGCCACTTCCGGTTTTCTGGTGGTTTATTGGAGATAAGAGTCTCACGGTCTCTCCTGCCCAGGCTGGCTTTGAACCACGATCCTCATATCTCAGCCTCCTGAGTAGCTAGGATTACAGGTGTGAGCCACCAGCGCCCGGCTTATCATGTCATTCTTTAGAAATGACATTCTATGTTATTCTTTGAAAATTAGGGAAATAAACTATGAAGATAGACGTTTGTGTCTCAGCTAGACCACATGGTATCAATTATATAGTTTTGTTCTTGTTGATAATCTATGGGTTGTTGGAAGTTTTAATGCAGAAAGATAAATCTAGTAGTAATGATTATTTCTTATTCTTTTTAATTTTTTAATTTTATTTTTATGCTGGTCCTGGGGCTTGAACTTAGGATCTGGGCATGGTCCCTGAGCTCTTCTGCTGAAGGCTACTACTTGAGCCACAACTCCACTTCTGGCTTTTTTAGTAGTTAATTGGAGATAAAAGTCTTATGGGAGGCTGGGAAGGTGGCTCAGTGGTAGAGCACTTGCCTTGCATGCATGAGGCCCTGGGTTCGATTCCTCAG